CCGAGACTTTGAAGATTGACATCTCTAAGTATAAGGGAGTCGAAGAGGACTCCCTCTTGAGATGTTTTGTCGAATTAGACGACGCCATAAGGGCGCGTCGCATCGACGACGGGGATATGCAAGTTGCATTTGCCCAGTCAAATCTGGCAGGACGTGCCAAGACTTGGGCACTGGGGCTCAAGTTGCACGACCCATATGCGTTTGGGTCGTTGGAAGTCTTCAAGTCGCGGCTCAAACAAACGTTTGAACCGCCTAGAGCTGAGTTCAGAGCTCGAACCGAACTCTTGAAGCTCAAGCAGGGTAAGCGTGATGTGCACGCTTACGCGCAACATATACGACATCTCACGAGTTGTATAAGTTCCAATCCGGTGGATGAATACACGTTGGTTTCGGTGTTCATGCAGGGTCTTGCGGATGGTCCCGTCAAGACTCACCTGTTCCGGCTTGAACTAGATTCACTAGAACAAGCCATTTCCATTGCGGAGCAGGAAGACTTCAGTCTGAGACAGGCTCGCGCCAGCTCGACATCATATCGTCAACCGAGACGATATGACAACGGAGGTCCAGAGCCGATGGAACTCTGTTATGTAGAGAGCGAGGAGGATCGCTCTACAGGCTACAAGAAGTTGCAGAGATGCAACAGATGTCAAAAGACAGGACACTACGCTTACGAGTGTAGTGCCCCTCGTCCAGTGTCTCGCGACATTGGGCGTAGTGACCGTCCACCCATGAGAAAGGGGCAGGGACGAGGGTCCGCTGTTGGTGCAAAGACGCAACAACGGGATGGACCGTCAAAAAACGGACAGGATCAGTAGGTGCGGAGCACCCTACTGATCCAGCAACGTCAAGAGAATTTGTAGGCCTCTTGATGAAGGTTGCTCCCAACCCGCAAACATTGCGTGTTGCTGCTCTAGGCAATGAGATCTCACTCATTACCTTGAAACTCGAAGTGACAAATGAGTTGTCCCTTCGAGCTCTAATCGATTGTGGGGCGTCCAACAATTTTGTGCGAAGCCAATCGCTAGAAGATGGTCACTTTAAGTTCAGTGAATGTGACACACCTCCTACGATGATGACGGTACGTCTTGCGACAGGCGCATCCGTAACCGTTATGAAGCGTATAGTGAAGATCCACTATACGCTAGAAGATACCCAATATGACGATGACTTTATCGTATTGGATTTGGATGACAATTTTGATGTCATCCTTGGAATACCGTGGCTCAGAAGGTACGAACCACGGGTAAACTGGCAACATCGAACAGTAACGATGCCTGCCGCTTGTTCATCAGATGGCCATCTGATGAACGTTTTGGAGCGTCCACAAGCGTGTGGATGTACTACGAGTGAGTGCGATGGCCTCACTTGTGGTACGGTCGTTAGTACGACTGCACAAAACCTTAGTGTAACAAACGGTTACACTTCGGAGCAAGCTTTCGGCGGCTGTGAGGAAACACGGGCTGCGCCGAAGGTCCATTACTCGAATAAGTCGAGTGGACCGGGACAAAGATGTATCCCTAGCGGGGAACATCTAGAAGAGAAACAATCGATCGCTCAGGTTAAGCGAAACGATAATCCTAGATCGACTGGAGAGTCTTTCGTAGAGGATCTCGCTGTGGTTGCGCAACCCCAGCTAGAGGAAGTAAAGGGAATAAGTCCCGATATTACAAATACGGCGGAAATAAGTTCCCCGAAACCCGAGGGAATAAGTCCCGGGAATCCGAAGGAATAAGTCCTTCGAGGCCTGAGGGAATAAGTCCCCAGAATATGACAGAGACATTGAATGTCATAGTCAATGATCGATCAAGTGTAGGCGCTTATACACTTGATCTGATTACTCCTCCGAAGTTAACTTCGGAGATCACTCAGTTGCCAACGCTCGAACATAAAAGGTTCTTGCGTGATATACGTAGCGGCAAAGTCAAGCAGATCTGCGTACTCGTCGCTGACGACGAGTGTGTAGCCGACATAAGGTCAGCAACAGTGTTCACTGAGAACGAGAGAGTTCTCAGGAGTTCATCTATGGACGAGAGTGTCCTAGATCAAAAGACACGAATTGAGCGATATGACTCCCAATCGTAGGAATCGCTCAAGACAAATCCTCTCTATGAAGATTTGGTTGAATTCAAGGATGTATTCCCTGAAACTGTTCCGTGCGCGTTACCGAAGGATAAATGTATTCGACACGAGGTCGAGCTTAAACCAGGCTCGAAGTACTGTGTCATGAAGCAGTGGCCACTGCCTCGTGAACAAGTACTTGCGATCGACAATTTCTTTGCCGATCGTTTAGCTGCGGGCCATGTGAGGGAATCAACTTCCCCACATAGCTCTCCGACCTTTTGTGTGCGAAAAGCAACAGGAGGGTGGCGGATAGTGCACGCATTTAACAAGTTGAATGCTGCAACGGTACCGGCTCAGACGCCGATACCAAGGAAGGACGTAATCATTGATGGTACGTCAAAGCGTACCATCTTTTCGTCCATGGATTTGATGGATGGCTTCTATCAAATCCTTATGCGAGAACGGGATCTATCCTATACCGCAGTTAGCACGCCTAGCGGCATGCTCTGGGAATGGCTAGTAATGCCACAAGGGCTTAGTAATGCCCCTGCCACGTTCAACAGATGTGTATCACATCTGTTGAGACCAGTACGAGAATTCGCGCCGAGATATTTCGATGACATATTCATCCATAGTCGAGCTATGGATGGAAAGTCGGACGTTGTGGTTCACAGATACCACGTCCGACAGGTTCTTACAATCATGCGAAAGCATCAATTGTATGCAAACCTCAAGAAATGTATATTTGCAGCAAGCGAAATACCACTTCTTGGGTGCATCGTTGGTAAGAACGGAGTACGTCCTGATCCCGAAAAGATCAAGGCGATCACCGACTGGCCTGTGCCGGTTGATGTCAAAGGTCTTCGAAAATTCCTCGGGCTAGCGGAGTATTTGCATAAGTATTCACGCAATTACGCCGAGATGACTGTGCACCTCTTTCGTTTGTTGAAAAAGAACGAGAGGTGGTTATGGAATGCTGAATGTCAGCGCTCCTTTGATGGTATCAAACAGATCTTGATACAATTCCCAGTCCTAGCAATAGCCGATCAGGACAGGCCATTTCATGTGGTCTGTGATGCCAGCGATTTCGCAATCGGCTGTGCATTAATGCAGTACGATCTTGAAGGCGTTGAACGCGTCGTCTGCTATCAGTCGCGTCAGCTGCAACCAGCTGAGCGGAACTATCCAGTGCATGACAAGGAGCTCCTTGCCATGAAGTATGCACTCGCGAAGTTCAGAGTCTATCTATTAGGAGATAGACCCTTCATTGTTTACACTGACCATGCGTCATTACGCACGGCAGTGAACAGCCCGCACCTTTCTCAACGAATGGCGCGGTGGTTGTCATTCTTTGCAGAATACAACTATACGGTAGAGTACAAACCAGGACGACTTAATGTCGTCGCTGATGCACTCTCACGTCGTCCCGACTTTGACCCAGTCGTGAAACCCAACAGTGAGACAGTCACTGTTGCGGCTATGACGTCCTCAGTCCCATCTACAACGTTGTATGATGATGTGAGGCGGGCATACGCCCAAGATGGTGAGATAGTGAAGTTGTTGACACATCTCTCCCAACCATCCCGAGAATCGTTGAAACGATTGTCGCCTGCGTATCGATCTGCATCAGATCGATACACTACTCGCAACGGGTTACTGTATTATACAGTCGTTTCTGGTGACACACCACGTGTTGTCATTCCAGATGATACTGATCTGCGTTTGCGGATCATGTTCGAGTATCACGATGCTCCTATAGGAGGACATCGTGGCCGAGAGAAAACATATCTCACGGTAAGTCGAGACTTTTACTGGCCCCGCCAGTATCAGTTTGTGCGAAAGCATGTTCGCGCATGCGAAGTCTGCCAACGAGTGAAGTCAAGTCCTTCACTGCGTGCACCTTTACAGCCTCTACCGGTTCCGGCTGAGTGCTGGGAATCCATCTCAATGGATTTTGTCTTCGGGTTACCCAAAGACGCACGCGGGAATGCGGGTATTCTCGTATTTGTTAACAGATTCAGCAAAATGGTACACATATTGGCTGTACCAGAGACAATCACGGCAAGTGGCTGTGCTTGTGTCTTTATCGACACCATCTTCCGACTTCGCGGGTTGCCCCGCGAACTCGTATCAGACAGAAATCCACGATTCACTGCTGATTTCTGGCGTTCCGTGTTCAAATCACTCGGAACGCGTTTGAAGATGTCAACATCTGATCATCCAGAGTCAGATGGTCAGACGGAACGTGCCAATCGTGTCCTTGAAGAGATACTTCGAGGATACGTACACTCCTTTAAGAGTTGGAGTGAGTTTTTGCCAATGGTAGAGTTTGCCATTAACAACTCGGTGCATGCGTCCACGACACATAAACCGTTTTACGTGAATGGCTTACGTCATCCGCGTGTACCCACCGTACTAGAGTGTAACTATGGTTCAAGGGGGAGGGACTCGCGCGATCAAAAACCGATTTGGTTCACGCTCATCACGCTCTGACGAAGAGGTCATGCGTTTGATGCCGATATCGACAACATCGATATCGAAGAAGATGATGTCAGTTAGAGAGCGGAAGCCCTCACTGAAGAAAAGATTGATGTTGATGCAGTGCCCTCACAGCGCACTGAAGCTAACGAGGCATCAGTTCATACTGGCTCGTGAAACGGTAGTCCGTTTCGTGCAAGACTCCATCGCCGAAGCGGTGGATAAGAAAAAGCAAAATGCAGACAAGAATGGAAGGGCAAACACTCTTTTATTTAATAAAGGTGACTTAGTCCTACTGTCTACGGTTAATCTACCAGAGCATGTAGTGACTAATTTGGGTAGCAGTAAACTACTACCCAAGTACATTGGCCCATTTCGTGTATTGCACCGCCTAAGCAACGCATATACGATCGAACTGCCACGTAAGATGTGAACGCATCCCACGTTTTACGTTGTTCTGCTTAATCCGTACCATCAGTACCCTGCTTCTTCCGATGAAGAACGCCCTTGCGTTCAAGCATCTCACAAAGGGCCTTGTGCTCCCGATGGTGGATATCGACAAGGGTCTGAAGAGCAGTTATCTCAGCCCGAGACCGGTCAACAATCCCACGAGCTACCCTTAGCTCGTCACGAAGAGATGTCAGAGCTCTCTCGTTCTCGAGCTGAGCAAAGGCAAACTCAGCTCGATGCTTCAAGACAGTGTCCACCAGTTGGAGACGCCTGTCCCGCTCCTGTTCGAGGTCGCCGCGTAACCCTTGCGTTACGCGATCAAAGAAGCTCTCGGGGACACACCGATCCACATGATCGTGTGGAGAGCGTCTTTCCTCCTCCTCCACCTCCTTTAGAGGACTCTCGCGGTGGCCAGCGCTATCTGGTTGAGAAGCTGTTGAACCACCGCGACGTGAACGGACGCCGGACGAGTTATCTCGTCCGGTGGCGCGGCTATCCCCCGTCCTGGGATTCTTGGGAGCCCCGCTCCCAACTGATGATCGACGTACTGGGTCTGGTTGAGCAGTACGACGCGGCACATCCTGTGCCGCAGAAGAACCGCCGGAGAAAGTCTTCCCGGCACGGTCGTAAAGGTATTTCAGGTTGTCAATCCCTTCGTACATCTCAGTAGAGATACGTACGCGCCACCACGGGCTATTTAGAAAGCAAGCCTCCATAGGTGCGCGCGCAGAGTTGTTCACACAACAAGGGCACGAGTCTCCCCAGGAGAGACAGGGTAACCCACTCTCCCTAGACATACGATGCAGCTTATAGCGTGCACCTGTCGGGGTTCGCTTTTCAAACTTATCACGAGCTTTAATAAGTTTGTCGTTCCAAGCGTCACGACCTACATCCTCGAGATTATGGATGTAGGCGTTCCACGCCTGAAGTAGTGAGGGACCATCACGTTTGTGATTCCCACTGTACCATCGATGTCTGAAGAAAGCATCGATGAAGAACTCATGTTCAGCGCGATAGTCTTTCGCGCTGGGGTCAAGGTGATGGATCCTTGACGAATCGAACAATCGTGTTCGATAACGATCACTCGTCGTCGCCGACAAGTGATCCATGACTGATTTGGGAGGCATCCATGCCTTCTTCTCAGGAGCGAGACGCAAGACATTTCGGTCCCGCTCTTCCTGCGACGTGCCGACAGAAGTACTGGCACCTCGTTGCGAACTGGTGTCCATAGGAGAACCGACACCACTGTTAGCGCCCGAGTCTCGCGACCTCGAGCGCCTTCGCTTCGGCGATGGTTCATCTGATTCATCAGTTCATCTGATTCATCAGATAAACCAAAGATGCTGCGACGCAAAGCATCGTCCATGCCACGCTTGGCAGGCGGCTTGGATACAATCGCCGTCAATACGGATCCGTTTTCCGTATCAGGAGAGTACGAGACACCGAGCTCGTACTCTGTGAAGACATGAGTGTCTTCATGACCAGCGCCTGCATCACCAAGTGACACAGGCTGGGTCGCTTCAGCAACCGATGAGACATCAGTTGCTGTAGTTTCTGCTTCGGCGTCCGCACAGAGACGTGCAGACGCGCTCTCGGCGGCCTTGCTCGCGCATCGCATGGGCTTGTTAACCATGCGATGAGATGTTGGAAAGTGGACGCGGACCAACAAGTGCAAACCCCGTCCCAAATGATTTGGGACGAGTATCCATTTAGTCAATCAGTCACTAAAGTGACTGATGGTTAAGGGGGGGGTGATGTAACGGGGTGAATCGTTACATAACAATTTATAAGAAATTGTTAATAGAATATAACTATAAGAGTTATATTCTCAGAATATTGTCATAAGGACAATATTCTGTAGCACTTCCAAGTAGTTCCTAATTGGTTGATATAGGCCATTATATCAACCAACGAAGACGCGCCACGACAGACGCACGCAATGAGTGGTGAGCAGATAACTGATTTACACATTTGTATTTAGACATAGTTAGATGAAGATAAATAGTGATTTATTGCAGACATTAACTATTATAAATACAGTTCTACTTTTTACTCTAACCGAGTACTCGCTTCTTCTTACCGTCTTCCTCTGCACGTACGAGTGTACGTGAAGTTACGAGGCACCGCCTTATTCTGTTATCAGAATAAGTAGCTTGTACTGTCACCAGTACAAGCTTCAGGGTGCCCCGTTACATTGAGGGCCCCGTTACACCATTGCCGCGTCACAGCTGCACCTTGTAATTTAGGCACCGTCACAGCCGAAGATAAAAAGGTGAATTTACCGACTACCTGCAGCTGAAGTAGTTCTCACCAATCTACGGCATCCGATTTACCACACAGAGATATTTTACACTAACGAAACAAAATTTATTTACGAATGGGAGCACCGTGTAGACCCCACAATGCATCGAGGCGACAGGTAGGTCGGTGCATGACGCCCTGTTTTGCTGTGCTTCCCACGCTGTGTGGCGGTAATGCGAATCATGTTACTGTCACCACTGCTGCGAGTTAAAATAGTTATCAGACAAAGAAATGATTAATTGCAATGGAACAAATAATTAGTTTAAATGTGATCATGGTCGTGTATTCGTGTTCTTGGTTGTTTTTCCCTCCATTTTGATGCTTAATTTGTCCAAGGTCATTCTGTTTGTTTTGATTTTGTGGTCGTGGTCGTCGTTGAATTTGTTCTTCCCTGAAATGTCCATTTTGCCAGCATCGTCTGGGAATTTGTTTTCGTTGATGTTGTGAACCTCATCGCCAGTTGCGTCCCCGATCGATGTCCATTGCCGTGTTAAAGTTTATGAAAACATCATCCGCATTTGTATCTGCGTATACATCTACTTCTTCGGCTTCAGTTTGTCAATTCCGATGCCTAAGTTTATATTTGAGTCTCCTTCTTCCTTGTTGGTCATATTGCCGCACAGCGGAGTGGTTTCACGGTAAAATGGCAGGCTCATCCCTGCAGGATTTATTCAACAGAACGTTCTAATAAACAACATAGCAAACAAAGCATTAGTCAAGGAATTCAACGATAAAAACCAAACACAAGTCCGAACACAATAGTAGAAGAATAACGGTGGATTACACTTGTTCACGATTGCTCAATGTTGTCAATGTGTGTTCAGTAACAGCTGAAGACCGCTATCAGGACTAAATAAGCGGGAAGTTTGGCGAAGTTCAATGGATCAAGTATAGTTTTTAATTTCACGATCACCTGTATTATAGATCATCTTTGGTCGGTCGATGTACATAAAGCACCAGAAAGGTGAAAATTTAGCTATTTGTGTAAAGACTGCCATAGTATCTGCTACCTGACTATTGTGGCTGCGACGAGAGAGGTTCGACTGCAGAAACTGACATACTAAAATTAGTCTGTTAGAGACAGCAGTAAGCTCACTTTTAATCCAAGAGTCGGCAGCCCGGGTCGTCTGCCACACTCACCGTCCCACATGTCAGATCTAAACTTTAAGAGCCTGTTGTCGATTCTTAATAAACGTTGAAAACTTATTAGGCCAGCATTAGATTCTACTCTGACTATGAAAAAGGATGACTGCTTGCGTTTCAACCGTACGATCACCACGTACTCATGTAAATGAGACGCGCAATTTTTTAGCAGAAGCAAAGTAGACATACAGGGAAAATATTGAGATTTTCCGATGTTGGCACCATCTTCTAAGTACTCATGAAATTATTGTGGCTATTATCGAAATAAAATTTAGGCTCGACAGCGAACATGCTAAAAGAGCCTCCAGCCATTTCATACCAATGAAAAGGAGAATATGAAAGCGTAGTTACTCATAATTAGCACAAAGGGAAACAGATCACAAAAGTCGACAGTGGCAGCTACATTGTATTAACGTCTACTTCAACATACTGTGTGGTCGGCGGAAAAATCCTAGCTCTGGTCAATAAGACTTGCTTGAGCCCGTTGAAACGATCCGGCGAAGACGAAGCATTCGAGTGACACCCGTGACACCTGCTTGATGAGCTAAGACCCGACTTCACAATGGTAGTCATAGTTCGCACAGCAATTCGTGCAGCACTTTTCGAAGTCACTGCGGTTATTCGAGCAAAGCACGGACGAACCCAAATGCGACGATGCCCACCTTGGGCAGGAAGTTGCTGGGCATTCTTTCAGATATTGACCGAACGTCGGGACTGCGGTAGCGAGGACCAAAGCCATTGCAAACTTGATCTTCATGATTGTCGATAGAGAGTGCTGAGGGAGGAGGTTGCTTCCCTTTTGGCAAAAAAAAGAATGGTTTGTTGAAAAGTGATGCGCGACGGTTAAGTGCGCCACGGGCGCACAGACAAATTTTGCTTCAGGACGGGGGTCGTTCTGGAAGCCAATCATTGAAGGAGACATGCACTACCCATGCACACAGTTGCAGACTCGTGCGAATATCTAGAGTTTATAATAGGGTGCCACGTGTAGGCTTTGCAAACGTTTTGGCAACTCTCATCTTCTCTGCCTAGGGTTCAAGAGCGCCAGAGATCTAGCGACAGGATGGGTTGCGATACAAACAATCGCTAGAAGACAGGGGATGCACCGGCGCATAAGCCTGCATCCAGTATTGTGCAAGCCAAGTTTTGGATTCAGCCAGTGGTTGGGTTTGTGAGCATTGATATTAGCAATTCTCATCTAATTTTTACAGCTTTCAATCACTGAGGGTTTCCTTCCACCGATAAGATTCAATTAGATCGCTCCTTTGTGAAACAAGCTTCGAACCTTGCCTAGAATTGGTGCACATATTTACTTTATGTGGACAGGTCCATTCTGATCCCGCGCAGTATTGGAAAATTAGGAAGAACATTCATCTTGATCTTGCAACTTTGATGGGTGTCTCGAGCGCTCGTCTGTACACGTCCGACCAGACTTTCCTCGATACCGATTAGACGCGTCTCTGACGAAGCCGTAAGAAGGATGCTTTCGAGCCCCAGTACCCATTGCCTCAAGACGAAAGAAAGGGTTGGATGTAACTCTTATTGAAAAGGAGCGTCCCACCTCATTGTAACTGAAGCATTGTTTCGCTTTTTGGCAAGGTGTCACCCTGGCAGTTAACGTCTTTAAAGAACTCTACATAAGGCATTATAGATTAGCGCAGCTCAACCGCAGGCGTTGACACCACCGATCAATCTCATAAAAATTTAAGGTCCAGCCCAGTACCTCAAATCAGCACAAATCTTGTGATTGTCAGTTGAGTGGTTCGTATCTTCCCCCGACCTTCAAAATCCAGTCGGTGTCAACGGCCCTTCGTCTATAAGAGGGTGTCCCACCTGCTAGCGAGCCGCCGGGAAGGTCGTACGTCGCTGAGACTTAGTGATGACACAAACAATTGCAATGAACTGCAGCCGGACGTGTACCCAAATGAAGAGGGCAGTCGAATTACTGTCACTTTATTGGTTTATAAGTAGTGTTTCAGCGGGTAATTTCCGACGATGGCGGCTGGCAATGATTGCGGACGTGCTGCATCTGCTCCGATGGGAAGAGAGCTGGCTCAGGGGGGTCGCCAGGATCCCTGCTGCCAGCTGATAGATCGACGGCTGGCAATGATTGCGGACGTGCAGCCGCATCTGCTCCGATCTGGGAAGAGAGCTGGCGCGGGGGCGGGGGTCGCCAGGATCCCTGCTGCCAGCTGATAGATCGACGGCTGGCAATGATTGCGGACGTGCAGCCGCATCTGCTCCGATCTGGGAAGAGAGCTGGCGCGGGGGCGGGGGTCGCCAGGATCCCTGCTGCCAGCTGATAGATCGACGGCTGGCAATGATTGCGGACGTGCCGCATCCGCTCCGATCCGGGAAGAGAGCTGGCGCGGGGGCGGGGGTCGCCAGGATCCCTGCTGCCAGCTGATAGATCGACGGCTGGCAATGATTGCGGACGTGCAGCCGCATCTGCTCCGATCTGGGAAGAGAGCTTGCGCAGGGGGGGGTCGCCAGGATCCCTGCTGCCAGCTGATTGATCGACGGCTGGCAATGATTGCGGACGTGCCCCATCCGCTCCAATCTGGGAAGAGAGCTGGCGCGGGGGCGGGGTCGCCAGGATCCCTGCTTGCAGCTGTTACATTGGCGGCGGGCTGGACGGATGTCAAAAGTTGTATCGCAGTTAATCAATGTGTCGCACGCACCACACAGGATCCCTGAATACTCGGCGCTGCTAATACGTAGATTAACTGGGGGCTAGGAAGCTAAATAGATAACTTAAACTTAAAAGAATCCGGTCTTATTTACCTGCCTTCTATACAATATGCGCCTTTTTTTTTTAAATTTCACGGTTCGGCTAAAGCCAGTCTTCTGCCCCTTTCGGGGGCGGACACTACGTAGGGTATTCTCTCCTAGGAAAGCCGAAGTGATCTAAGGTCTGCCTTAAGCAAGCTGCACTTGCAGTATCGGTTGTGAGGGCAGTGGACCGACGGGTCGCGCAAGCGGCCAAGAAGGGAAAGGTTACGGAATGGAGGCGTATTCCACGCCACGTGTCGCCGCTGCGGCGGTCGCACAGTCCAAGTCCTGGGGGTCACACAAGTGTCCAAGAGGGGGGCCACTATCGCGAATGGATGAGCTCCTAGGTGAAAGATTACGGCGGGTTGGCGTTCCCCACGCCTTACGGTTACGTCGGTGATCGCGCTCCACGTCAAGGGGCGCGCAAGCGGCAGATGGACGCCCACCATCGCAGACGGATGAGCTCGTAGGAGACAAATTACGGTGGGTGGGCGTTTCCCCCCGCCATCGTCATCGCCTCGGCGATAGAAGAATTCAGATCGAACGGTCGCTTTAGCGGCCACAATGGAGCCTGTCGCCGACATTAGTAATACTCTTCCGCGTGTGACGTAATTTTTATTACTCGCGCTTCAGGTCGTCTGGCCGCGCTAAGCCGTCACCAAATCGGAAGGGCGTCCTTTTGGACGTCTGATATCTTCTGCTGCATCGGCAGCGCTGCACTGAGAGCTCTTGAAAGATAGGCATAAATCTGGCTTGGGTTGGATGACTTTGACCTCTGCTACTCTCGCCCCCGGATCTTCGGAGCACCCACGTTGTAGATCCGGATTCGGATCACACTTCCTGGAAACTTCAGTCGTTAGTCATTCCTTTTATAAAAGGACGTACTTGACACCACCACAAGACGTGCTCCTACAGTAGTTACCTTTGAGGACTCCACGCCAATTGTTCCAGCTACAACAGTCTCCTCTGTTACACTTGTACTATCTACCACAGAGCGGTGGATGCTCTGGACGTCTCCCTCAAATGCGGGTGACACAAAAATATTGTGTCCCTGGGTGCATTGAGCAAATACATTACAATTGGCTCAAAAGCTAGTTTGGTGAGAGGACAGTCCAAGCGTTATTTTTACGAGATAAGTGGAGAAGAAATCAGCAGGTGGTGATAGCTCAAGTAAAATACCAATAAACCTTCGTTTGGTTGCAAACGTGTACGTCTCCAACACGCTTTGGTCGTGTCCCGCACGCAGGTGTACATATCGCTCTGTAATTATACTTTTCGGCCACCATGTATTACCCATAATGTTCTGCTGATCCGCCCGTTATTTTTGATGCCATCTTCAGTAGCTGTATTTCTTTTTGGCATTCCGCTGGCTCCATGCAACTTGCCGCCACTCTCCTTTCCTTCAGTTGCGACGAATGAATTGTTGTACATGACATGGAAGTACAATCAGTTCATCCACTTGATCTAGCCCCATTTAGGTTAGCGGACAGTTTGACATACAGCCATTCATGACCTTTGTACACTAAATCAAGTGACTTTGCTGCGTGGTATTACTGCGCATAAACTTTTCGCTGCATAAAGTGAGCCATGCTCTCTATCGTAGCTTTAAACATTACAAAAAGCGTCAAGCTTAAAAAAATGCGCCTTCAAGCGCTTCCTCACAAAATTCTAGACCACTGCATGTTGCACACGCTCGAAACCATACACACGTACGATTGCTTTCAAGAGTTTGCCAAGAATTTTGTGGGGTAACAAGACCTTGCCAGCGGTTGTTCTGGAAAGCACGAGTGCCAGTTGAGGATGTCAGTATAGCAAAAATGATTCGACAAGCGCATCAAGACGGAGACATAGCGACCAAAAACACCTGTCGCATCCGTGTGGATCGCCCCCATTTTGTCGCGCGTTGCTTGAGCCTCGCGATGGTGCTGGGAAAGCTAAGTGTAATTTATCGAGCTGATGTAACCAGTCATCTGTCATTGCGCTTATGTTAGTACGACAACAAGCAACTAGAAAACGTTTCAGCGATGTGTAAACGAGACCTTCTCCTCGTGGACGCACAACACTAAACATGTAAAGACACGCACGTGTATAAACAAACAAGCTATAGACTCGATCGCTATCACCGCAGTGCTGTTTTCCGACGATTTGGCGGATTCGTTCACTCGCATTCGACAAATTTGTCATCATTATATGGTGCAGCAGTGGAATGTATAGAAACGCAGTAGATTTGTCGTTTGAGGTCAGATGTAACGGGGTGAATCGTTACATAACAATTTATAAGAAATTGTTAATAGAATATAACTATAAGAGTCAATTCTCAGAATATTGTCATAAGGACCATATTCTGCAGCACTTTCGAGTAGTTTCTAATTGGTTGATATAGGCCATTATATCAACCAACGAATGCGCACCACGACAGACGCACGCAATGAGTGGTGAGCAGATGGTTGACATACACATTTGTATTTAGACATAGTTAGATGAGGATAAATAGTGATTTATTAACATGCATTAACTATGAAAAATACAGTTCTACGTTTTACTTAAACTAAGTACTCGATTCTTCTTACCGTCTTCCTCTGCACGTACGAGTGTACGTGAAGTTCCGAGGCACCGCCTTATTCTGTCATCAGAATAAGTAGCTTGTACTGTCATCAGTACAAGCTTGAGGGTGCCCCGTTACACCTGGTAGCACTTCGTAGTCCGTCCAAGGACCACGTTCACATCTAACATGAATATGTTGGATGATGAAGATGACCAAAGCTTTCACGCTACGCGTGACGGCTACTCCCATTTGAGCGATGTCGAATGAGATGCGGTTGAACGAATGGGTTCAACCATGGGCATCCATGCTGTTAGCGTCATGCTAGAGGCTCTCAATAGAGATGCCCAACATGCTACTATCGCCAAGTTCATTCAAAATGAACTTGACGCTGAACGCGAGAATGTAGCCTTGCTTCACCAACAAGGTTCTCGACAATCAGAGCTGTTGAGAGAACAGGTTTCTCAACAGTTTGAACTATTGAGACAGCAGCAGGCTGCTGCTGGTGGGTCGATGCATTTGCGTCGACCCGAGACCTTGAAGATTGACATCTCTAAGTATAGAGGAGTCGAAGAGGACTCCCTCCTGAGATGGTTCGTCAAATTGGATGACGCCATAAGGGCGCGTCGCATCGACGACGGGGATATGCAAGTTACATTTGCCCAGTCAAATCTGGCAGTGCGTGCCAAGACTTGGGCTTTGGGGCTCAAGTTGCACGACCCATATGCGTTTGGGTCGTTGGAAGTCTTCAAGTCGCGGCTCAGACAAACTTTTGAACCGCCAAGAGCTGAGTTCAGAGCTCGAACTGAACTCTTGAAGCTCAAACAGGGTAAGCGTGCTGTTCACGCTTACGCGCAACATATACGACATCTTACGAGTTGTAAAAGTTCCAATCCGGTTGACGAACCACGTTGGTTTCGGTGTTCATACAGGGTCTTGCGGATGGTCCCGTCAAGACTCACCTGTTTCTACTTGAACTAGATTCACTAGAACAAGCCATTTCCATTGCGGAACAGGAAGACTTCATTCTGAGACAGGCTCGCGCCAGCTCGACATCGTATCTTCCACCGAGACGATATGACAGCGGAGGTCCAGAGCCGATGGAACTCTGTTATGTAGAGAGCGAGAAGGCTCGCTCTACAGACTACAAGAAGTTGCAGAAATGCAACAGATGTCAAAAGACAGGACACTACGCTTACGAGTGTAGTGCCCCTCGTCCAGTGTCTCGCGACACTGGGCGTAATGACCGTCCACCCATGAAAAAGGGGCAGGGACGAGGGTCCGCAGTTGGTGCAAAGACGCAACAACGGGATGGACCTTCAAACAAAAGGACGGGATCAGTAGGTGCGGAGCACCCTACTGGTCCAGCAACGTCAAGAGAATTTGTAGGCCTCTTGATGAAGGTTGCTCCCAACACACAAACGTTGTGCGTTGCTGCTCTAGGTAATGAGATCTCACTCATTACCTTGAAACTCGAAGTGACAAATGAGTTGTCTCTTCGAGCTCTAGTCGATTGTGGGGCGTCCAACAATTTTGTGCGACGCCAATCACTAGAAGATGGTCACTTTAAATTCAGTGAATGTGACACACCTCCTACGAGGATGACGGTACGTCTTACGACAGGCGCATCCGTAACCGTCATGAAGCGTTCAGTGAAGATTCACTATGCGCTAGAAGATACTCAATATGATGATGACTTTGTCGAATTGGATTTGGATGCAAATCTAATGTCATCCTTGGAGTACCGTGGCTCAGAAGGTACGAACCACGGGTTAACTGGCAACATCGAACAGTAACGATGCCTGCCGCTTGTTCATCAGATGACCATCTGATGAACGTTTTGGAGCGTCCACAAGCGTGTGGATGTGCTACGAGTGAGTACGATGGCCTCACTTGTGGTACGGTCGTTAGTATGACTGCACCAAAATTTTATTGTAACAAACAGTTACACTTCGGAGCAAGCTTTCGGCGGCTGTGAGGAAACACGGGCTGCGCCGAAGGTCCATTACTCGAATAAGTCGAGTGGACCGGGACAAAGATGTATCCCTAGCGGGGGACATCTAGAAGAGAAACAATCGATCGCTCAGGTTAAGCGAAACGATAATCCTAGATCGACTGGAGAGTCTTTCGTAGAGGATCTCGCTGTGGTTGCGCAACCCCAGCTAGAGGAAGTAAAGGGAATAAGTCCCGATATTACAAATACGGCGGAAATAAGTTCCCCGAAACCCGCGGGAATAAGTCCCCGGGAAGCTGAAGGAATAAGTCCTTCGAGGCCTGAGGGAATAAGTCCCCAGGAAATGACAGAGACCTTGAATGTCATAGTCAATGATCGATCAAGTGTAGGCGCTTATACACTTGATCTGATTACTCCTCCGAAGTTAACTTCGGAGATCACTCAGTGCCAACGCTCGAACATAAAAGGTTCTTGCGTGATATACGTAGCGGCAAAGTCAAGCAGATCTGCGTACTCGTCGCTGACGACGAGTGTGTAGCCGACATAAGGTCAGCAACAGTGTTCACTGAGAACGAGAGAGTTCTCAGGAGTTCATCTATGGACGAGAGTGTCCTAGATCAAAAGACACGAATTGAGCGATATGACTCCCAATCGTAGGAATCGCTCAAGACAAATCCTCTCTATGAAGATTTGGTTGAATTCAAGGATGTATTCCCTGAAACTGTTCCGTGCGCGTTACCGAAGGATAAATGTATTCGACACGAGGTCGAGCTTAAACCAGGCTCGAAGTACTGTGTCATGAAGCAGTGGCCACTGCCTCGTGAACAAGTACTTGCGATCGACAATTTCTTTGCCGATCGTTTAGCTGCGGGCCATGTGAGGGAATCAACTTCCCCACATAGCTCTCCGACCTTTTGTGTGCGAAAAGCAACAGGAGGGTGGCGGATAGTGCACGCATTTAACAAGTTGAATGCTGCAACGGTACCGGCTCAGACGCCGATACCAAGGAAGGACGTAATCATTGATGGTACGTCAAAGCGTACCATCTTTTCGTCCATGGATTTGATGGATGGCTTCTATCAAATCCTTATGCGAGAACGGGATCTATCCTATACCGCAGTTAGCACGCCTAGCGGCATGCTCTGGGAATGGCTAGTAATGCCACAAGGGCTTAGTAATGCCCCTGCCACGTTCAACAGATGTGTATCACATCTGTTGAGACCAGTACGAGAATTCGCGCCGAGATATTTCGATGACATATTCATCCATAGTCGAGCTATGGATGGAAAGTCGGACGTTGAGGTTCACAAGTACCACGTCCGACAAGTTCTTACAATCATGCGAAAGCATCAATTGTATGCAAACATCATGAAGTGTATATTTGCAGCAAGCGAAATACCACTTCTTGGGTGCATCGTTGGTAAGAACGGTGTACGTCCTGATCCCGAAAAGATCAAGGCGATCACCGACTGGCCTGTGCCGGTTGATGTCAAAGGTCTTCGAAAATTCCTTGGGCTAGCGGCGTATTTGCATAAGTATTCACGCAATTACGCCGAGATGACTGTACACCTCTCTCGTTTGTTGAAAAAGAACGAGAGGTGGTTATGGAATGCTGAATGTCAGCGCTCCTTTGATGGTATCAAACAGATCTTGATACAATTCCCAGTCCTAGCAATAGCCGATCAGGACAGGCCATTTCATGTGGTCTGTGATGCCAGCGATTTCGCAATCGGCTGTGCATTAATGCAGTACGATCTTGAAGGCGTTGAACGCGTCGTCTGCTATCAGTCGCGTCAGCTGCAACCAGCTGAGCGGAACTATCCAGTGCATGACAAGGAACTCCTTGCCATGAAGTATGCACTCGCGAAGTTCAGAGTCTATCTATTAGGAGATAGACCTTTCATTGTTTACACTGACCATGGGTCATTACGCACGGCAGTGAACAGCCCGCACCTTTCACAACGAATGGCGCGGTGGTTGTCATTCTTTGCAGAATACAACTATACGGTAGAGTACAAACCAGGACGACTTAATGTCGTCGCTGATGCACTCTCACGTCGTCCCGACTTTGAAACAGTCGCGAAACCCAACAGTGAGACAGTGACTGTTGCGGTTATGACGTCCTCAGTTCCATCTACAACGTTGTATGATGATGTGAGGCGGGCATATGCCCAAGATTGTGAGATTGTGAAGTTGTTGACACATCTCTCACAGCCATCTCGAGAATCGTAGAAACGATTATCTTCTGCGCATAATAATCTGCATCAGATCGATACACTACTCGCAACGGTTTTCTGTATCATACAGCCGTTTCTGGTGACACACCACGTGTTGTCACTCCAGATGATACTGATCTGCGTTTGCGGATCATGTTCGAGTATCACGATGCTCCTACAGGAGGACATCGTGGCCGAGAGAAAACATATCTCACGGTAAGTCGAGACTTTTACTGGCCCCGCCAGTATCAGTTTGTGCGAAAGTATGTTCGCGCATGCGAAGTCTGCCAACGAGTGAAGTCAAGTCCTTCACTGCGTGCACCTTTACAGCCTCTACCGGTTCCGGCTGAGTGCTGGGAATCCATCTCAATGGATTTCGTCTTCGGGTTACCCAAAGACGCACGCGGGAATACGGGTATTCTCGTGTTTGTTGACAGATTCAGCAAAATGGTACACATATTGGCTGTACCAGAGTAAATCACGGCAAGTGGCTGTGCTTGTGTCTTTATCGACACCATCTTCCGACTTCATGGGTTGCCCCGTGAACTCGTATCAGACAGAGATCCACGATTCACTGATGATTTCTGGCGTTCCGTGTTCAAATCACTCGGAACGCGTTTGAAGATGTCAACATCTGATCATCCAGAGTCAGATGGTCAGACGGAACGTGCCAATCGTGTCCTTGAAGAGATACTTCGAGGATACGTACACTCCTTTAAGAGTTGGAGTGAGTTCCTGCCAATGGTAGAGTTTGCCATTAACAACTCGGTGCATGCGTCCACGACACATACACCGTTTTACGTGAATGGCTTACGTCATCCGCGTGTACCCACCTTACTAGAGTGTAACTATGGTTCAAGGGGGAGGGACTCGCGCGAGCAAAAACCGATTTGGTTCACGCTCATCACGCTCTGACGAAGAGGTCATGCGTTTGATGCCGATATCGACAACATCTATATCGAAGAAGATGATGTCAGTTAGAGTGCGGAAGCCCTCACTGAAGAAAAGATTGATGTTGATGCAGTGCCCTCACAGCGCACTGAAGCTAACGAGGCATCAGTTCATACTGGCTCGTGAAACGGTAGTCCGTTTTGTGCAAGACTCCATCGCCGAAGCGGTGGATAAGCAAAAGCAAAACGCTGACAAGAATGGAAGGGCAAACACTCTTTTATTTAATAAAGGTGACTTAGTCCTACTGTCTACGGTTAATCTACCAAAGCATGTAGTGACTAACTTGGGTAGCAGTAAACTAATACCCAAGTACATCGGCCCATTTCGTGTATTGCACCGCCTAGGCAATGCAAGCACGATCGAGTTGCCACGTAAGATGCGAACGCATCCCACGTTTTACGTTGGTCGGCTTAAGCCGTACTATCAGTACGCTGTTTCTTCCGATGAAGAACGCCCTTGCGTTCAAGCACCTCACAGAGGGCCTTGTGCTCCCGATGGTGGCCATCGACAAGGGTCTGAAGAGCAGTTACCTCAGCCCGAGACCGATCAACAATCCCGCGAGCTACCCTTAGCTCGTTACGAAGAGATGTCAGAGCTCTCTCGTTCTCAAGCTGAACAAAGGCAAACTCAGCTCGATGCTTCGAGGCAGCGTCCGCCAGTTGGAGACGCCTGCCCCGCTCATGTTCGAGATCGTTGCGTAATACTTGCGTTACGCGATCAAAGAAGCTCTCGGAGACACACGCTTCCCCACGGTTGTGTGGAGAGCGTCTTCCCTCCTCCTCCACCTCCATTAGAGGACTCTCGCGGTGGCCAGCGCTATCTGGTTGAGCAGCTGTTGAACCACCGCTACGTGAACGGACGTCGGACGAGTTATCTCGTCCAGTGGCGCGGCTATCCCCCGTCCTGGGATACTTGGGAGCCCCGCTCCCAACTGATGGTTGACGTACTGAAGGCAGACTTGTCTTCTTTTCGGGAGCGAGACGCAACACGTTGCGGTCCCGCTCCTCCTGCGACGTACCGACATAAGCACTGGTATCTCGCTGCGAAGTGGTTTCACTAGGAGAACTGACACCACTGTGAGCGCCCAAGTCTTGCGATCTCGAGCGCCTTCGCTTTGGCGAGGGTTGATCTGATTCATCAGATGAACCAAAGATGCTACGACGCGTAGCATAATCCATGCCACACTTGGCAGGCGGCTTGGTTTCAACTGCCTTCGATACAGAGCCTTCTTTCGTATCGGGAGAGTATGAGACACCGAGCTCATACTCTGTGAAGACATGAGTGTCTTCATGACGAGCGTCTGCATCACCAGGTGATACAGGCTGAGACGCTTTAGCAACCGATGAGACATCAGTTGCTGTGGTTTCTGCTACGGCGTCTGCACAGAGACGTGCGGATGCGCTCTCAGCGGCCTTGTTCGGGCACCGCATGGACTTGTGAACCATGCGATGAAACTGATGGACTGTGGACTCGGACCAACAAGTGCAAACCCTGTCCCAAATGATTTGGGACGAGTATCCATTCAGTCAATCAGTCACTTGAGTGACTGATGGTTAAGGCGGGGGTGATGTAACGGGGTGAATCGTTACATAACAATTTATAAGAAATTGTTAATAGAATATAACTATAAGAGTCAATTCTCAGAATATTGTCATAAGGACAAATATTCTGCAGCACTTACGAGTAGTTTCTAATTGGTTGATATAGGCCATTATATCAACCAACGAAGGCGCGCCACGACAGACGCACGCAATGAGTGGTGAGCAGATAGTTGATACACACATTTGTATTTAGACATAGTTAGATGAGGATAAATAGTGATTTATTAACATGCATTAACTATGAAAAATACAGTTCTACGTCTTACTTAAACTAAGTACTCGCTTCTTCTTACCGTCTTCTTCTGCACGTACGAGTGTACGTGAAGTTCCGAGGCACCGCCTTATTCTGTCGTCAGAATAAGTAGCTTGTACTGTCATCAGTACAAGCTTGAGGGTGCCCCGTTACATCAGCCGCGACAGCTATTTTCGTGAAGCTCGTTCATCCGTTTCACACGACAACCTTTTTTCTTTAGACGATGACGAGGGCATTTCAATATTTGCATGGCTACTGTTCCGATGTTCAAATTGTTCTATGCACTTATTCATTACGAGCCCGAATGGTGAAGCTATTAGAGATTATGCGCAAGTCTGACTGCTGACACTTTTTTAATCGTACTTCTCTGTGCGTGTCTGTATATATCGCGGTAAGACGTACCTTACCCTTACTAAGTACGATCAAGCCAAATACCTTTTGATAGGAACATAAGTATGTTCAAACAAACCTTTGGCTAGGTCGCTATTGTGACGTACGCATGTGATTGGATTAAAATCAATAAAATGGTGAAAATTAGCCCATAAACAAAGAGATTTTCTCAGTACTAGTACCTCCAGCTTGCCAATTTCCCAGATCTTATATCTTCTCCAATTGCAGTGCTGGTACCTCTATATTGTGTATGGCTGTGCTAAACTACACCTCAAAGTAAGATGGTTGACAACACGCACCCGCTCTTCAATCTGCGTCAAGTACATGGAATTTAGAGCTTTCGCTAGGACAAAGGCTTGAGTCATAATCCAGGACCGCACAATTTCTTTAAGACTACTGCTTAAATGCAATAAGATTTGCATCATTACAAGCGGCAGTGAGAAATGTAAAAAGTACGGCTAAGGTTACAAGGAATGCACGTAAGAAGTACGCGTAAGTCGGCAAGTCGATGGGTCTACGTACGTCCCTACAATCAATGACAGGCACTATGACTTTTGTACGTCAACGTCGAAACCAACTAAACAAGAGATTCGCTCACTTCAAACAATTCAGGCGGCCATCCGGGGCGACAGAAACATGAATCGCAAGACGCTGGTATTACTCATTCCAGATCACGTCCACATCAACTTGGAAGCAAATAGATCTAAATTGTACAGAGCAAAAGATGATGTGGTCGACATGGTTAATGGAGAATGGAGAATCTTTCAAATGCGTAATTTGCTGTCAGAACTTCGCAAGAACCAATCCCGTAACGACTGTGCGACTTGAAGTCGATCAACGCAGTCGCTTCCAAAGCGTATTTCTAGCGTTTGGGGTAAGTTTTTATTAGTCAGCCACACCTGATTCCAATTCTCGGGTTCGATAGAAGGCACTCACTACACCTTAAGTATGTCGGAGTTGTTCTTTTTCTTTCAGGCAGAAACGGCAACAATCAAAATGTCACTTTTGCTACGGCGTTAGTCAAAGACGAAAATGAAAGTAACGTGAGGTGGTTTCCCTCTCTTTGCGAAGAATCCGGTATTTTTTGCGGACAGGCCAATATTCTGTGGCCGTGGTCATGTTCGAGCGTCTGTGGCGAAGATGTACACCACTTCAAATGTAGTGATCAAGCTTCGATTTTGCGCAGTTCACATCATGCGCAACTTAAAAACTAACACGATGTTGCGGGAGGGATTATGAGAACGCGGTTTGAGAGGCACAAGCGGCAGAAACGCAGCAGGACTTAATGATCCGATTACATCCATTCGACTTAAAAACGGTGGTGCTGTTGTACCAAATATCCTTGATTTAAACCCTGAAAGCTGGACGGTACACGCAAACGTGTCGACATTCATACCAGCAACTGTGCCTAAAGAGATTAAATCTCCTATTGCGATGCCAAGGTTCGGCCGGAAAAGCTCTAATTTCGTTGAAAGTGACAACAGCGCGATGATCGAGAATGACTTGACAATTTCGGCACCTTACGACGCTTTACTAAAATTTGCCATGGTCAAAATGGATCGAGCTAGCCAGCGTGGTATTAATGCTCACCATTGGATTGATAACGGTCGCTCTCTTACTCCCTGTGCAAATCTTATGTGGGATAAGGAACGTTTTCTTTTTTGTTAGTACGCAGTGCGACAATCTACGAGTACCTTATACTTTGTAGGTCATCCAGGATCACCTAACTTTCGTCTTGTGGATACAGCACAGCCTCAATATTCGTGTCCTGCGTTCGATCAGTTTAGGATCGCTTGCCGCCTTATCATTGCTGCACTGCACACAAAAGGAAATCAAGATCGTTTGATGAGAGCGTTTCACTCGTGTTATTCATTAGCACGTACGTGTCAACACTTTTTAACAATGATATCCAGGTCGCACTAATCACGGGTATTATTATACAAACGAATTTGGACTCACCCCATCTTACAAGCAGGTTGACGCCCACGCGAGAGACGTTTCTAAGTGCAGGCGAACTGGGACCAAATTTAGCTATGGTTGTCGAACATGCCGTCGCGTTTATATTAGCTATGGTTATCGAAGATGCCGTCGCGCTGGTCATAACGGGACTACGTGTCATCGACACTCCATCTAAGTAGAAGTTAATATCGCAGCTCTCTTGACCTTTATCGTAGATCTGCCGAGTCCTGTTCAGTACTTAAGTATAACAATCATAACCACAAAGGTGTAAATGGCCCCATCGTTAATAGTGTTTCACGGAGCACTAGATTAAATGGAAGTTTCTATCGCTAGCATTTGCTCGGACTCGCATGGCTTTTTGACCATTTGGTAAGTGACGTGAATATATGTAAGACCTTTTAGATACAACGCGAGTCAACAATGCTTGGGACGCATCAATAACCAGCGAGAAATTAAACAATACATTTCATACGGGTCATGTAACGGGTCACCCTTTGTTTGGGGTGCCCCGATACTTCACGTACACTAGTACGTGCATAGGAAGCTAATCTACTCAACAGCTAAGTTGAGTACAGGGTAAACGAGAACTGTATTTAATATAGTTAAGATGCCAATATAACTTAAATCTTCATCTCACTATATTAAACTACGTCGTCGTATGACGACAACCTTCTCACCACTCAGTGCTCGTGTCTAGCAGCGATTGGTGGTAATCTTGGTTGATATGTCTTGCATCAATCAATCTTCGAGCAGCGCATGAACAATATCCAGAAGGGGATAATATTACTTCAATTTTATCCACCTCGGATAATATTGGTAAAATATTTTATGCTAGACAAATCTCTATCGACACCGTTGTGTGTCAATTTCATGTAACGGCCTACTCCGTTTCATCACCCCTCCCTTAAATATCAATCACCCGTTAATTGAGTACAATCAATTGGGACAGGGTGACCATTGTTGGATCACTCTGGGAAAGGGAGCATATGTTGGTCGAATTCCATTCCTTTACCAATCCAACGCATGATTTCGAAAACGACGCGGGTTGCTACTGCAGCAGAAAGAAAGGCACCTGCCCGCGTGCGTGCAGCCGGAGATAGTACCTATCACACCTCAGCAGCAGGTGATTCGTCGCCTGCTGCTGTGAACAGTTCACGTGGTGAGTCACCACGTGCGACAGGTACATCCGCTGCGTCTGCAGCGGGTACCACGAGTCGTAATCAAGATGAGTCTGATTTAGAGCTCATTTATTCTGGCGAGCCGGATGGTATATCCGACTCGACAGGGACACCTCACTCCTCCGGATCAACGGGGGCGGACACTGCAAAAGGCATGTTGACTGGCTCTTGTCAACGTGGCAGCAAAATGTTCAAGATCTTCAAATCGAGCGATTGTTCCGACGACTCTCCGCCCCACACAAGTCCATTCAACGATAGTACGCGTGGAAATGGTGGTGATGCACCTGTACATCACCACGAGCGAAGTAACTCAAAGGATCGGGGTAACACTGGTGCCAGTGCTCATGTTGGCACCAATCAAGAGACAAGGGACGGAAATGTTCTGCGCCACGCTCCTCAAGTGCAGTATCCTTGGATGCCATTATCCAGAGAGTTGGACCGTTTGGCCGGCACGACTATTGAACAGGATCGAATCCCGTTGTTCGACTATAGGAAGATCTGCCCTCCTAACGCCAGCACGGAAACTATCCGTGCTGAGGAAGAATTCTTCACCGATGCAATTCTCTAACATCGGGGGTACAATGACAGCCGTGTTCGAGACGGTAAAGCCTTAGTGCAGGTATGGAATGCCCTCATCCACAATATCGAGTGCATTGGACGTGAGGCCTCGCTCGGTAAACTTGATGCAGCTCGCATCAGGATTGGGTAGCGTAACTTAGTCGGTGTACGGTACAAGCTGCACCTACTGTCAAGAGAGTCAGGGTTACCTTGTCTCTCGTGAGGCGACCGATGTCCAGGTTGCCTGGATAACTCGATTCGTTCCCCTAGGGAGGGCTACCTTCCTAATTATCCTCACTGGAGGGCGCGCATCTCTTTGAGATGGCCGAAGGGATTGACACTTTGCAATTCCTGTACTCGCATTCAGATAGGTCGTTTATCGACGGCTCTTCGTTAGAACGTGGCGGGCGAGTCTCGTCATATTGCTTGGCGAGACCCAGGACATCATCAGTCAGCTGGGCGCGAGGATCCAAGCTGTACGAAGCCGGCGAAAGGACACGCCTGCAGACGAAGTAAATCGTCTGGATTCCCTGTACGTCGCGGTGGCTCAAGATAAGCTGCACTAGGAAGCGTTGACCACCGCCTGAGTCCACTAGAGGATGTTGTGGCGGCGGGAACACCTGAGAAGGCTCGAGGGTCGGATCAGCTCGATGTTTAGGAGCTAAATCCTGTAACGGAACAGTTGCGAGATGACCTGGCTCATGAACGGACTCGGCGTTATGAGCTCCATGACCTTGTAAAGGATCTTTGCAATGCTTTAGCGCACGAACGTATGGACGATCATGCCGCCTTTGCGTTCGCACGACTTGAGAACGAACGTTCGATTCGCCCTCTTCGTGACGAGATGACTGTAGCTTGTCGAGACATCGCTGCGTGAGCAGTTCACTTCGCTGGTAGACCATAATAGCTCGTTTAAACGGGTCCACTCGAAGGTGATCTCGGGTCTCGACCGCGGAGGTGTTCTTCGCATCTCGAAACAGGCTCGTACTGATAGTACGGCCGGAGACGTCCGACGTAAAACGTAGGATGCATGCGCATCCTAAGAGGCAGTTCGACCGTGTAAGCGTTGCTCATACGGCGCAATACACGGAACGGACCGATATACTAGGTAGTAGTTAACTGTTGCCACGTTAGCAATTGAGTGTTTAGTTTTATTTACTGTAAACATTAAAGCTAAGTATCCTTTATTACATGAAAGAACATTTTTCCTTTCAAGATTGTCTGCATTTCGTTTCTGTTTGTCGATTGCATCCGCAAATAGAGTCTTTAGCGAAGTGGACAACCGCCTCGTGAGTCAGCAGAGATTTTATCTACTGATTCATCCTTGTCAATAGCAGTGCGCTTCGTGTGCCCTGCTGAAAGGACGTTGTCTTCACCAGTGTGGGCATCATCGTCCTCACTGTGGCAGGCATTGACGATGCTGAATATACTAGCATCGTCGTTATCATCATCATCGATATCGATCGCATCGACATCGGCATCCATCACGTCGACACCATTGTCGACGGGTGTTGAACAAGAACCAGATTAGTTTGTGTTCGAGCGAGTCCACCCCCCCCTTAAACGAGGGTCACACTCTAAGAAGGCGGGTAAAAGTGGATGGCGTAGGCCATTCACGAAGAACGGTGTATGCGTGGTCGACGCGTGCACCAAGTTGTTGGTGGCGAATTCCGCCATCGGCAAGAACTCACTCCAGCTCGTAAACAAGTCTACATAACCTCGAAGTATCTCTTCGAGGACGCGTTCGACGCGTTCCGTCTAACCATCTGTTTCTGGATGGTCAGAAGTCGACATCTTCAAACGTGTTCCAAGTAAACGAAACACGGATTGCCAGAAGTCCGCTGTGAATCATAGGTCTCTATCAGACACGAGTTGTTGGGAAATCCGTGAAGTCGGAAGATTGTATCGATGAAGGCTTGTGCACAGCCCTGGGCTGTGGTTGACTCCGGTACAGCAACAAAATGTACCATCTTGCTGAACCAATCAACAAACACAAGAATAGCAGTATTATTGTGGACGTCTTTAGGAAACCCAAAGACGAAGTCCATCGATACGGACTGCCAACACTCTGCCGAAACCGGTAGAGGTTGCATAGGTGCACGGGATGATGGACTAGGCTTCACCTGTCGCCAACCTTCGCAAGCGCGAATGTATTTGCGCACAAAATCATACTGGAGCGGCCAGTAGAAGTTACGACCAACCGTGAGGTAAGTCTTTTATCTACCGCGATGCCCACTTGATGGAGCATCGTGACACGCATACATGATGCGCAATCTCAAATCATTGTGAGCGGGAACGACGACACGAGGTGTGTCGCCGTTGGCTGCTGTATAGTACAGCAGTCCATCACGAATTAAACACCGTTCGGTTGAAGAGCGGTATTGAGACGACAAGCTTTTTAAAGTTTGACTGCATGGATCGGATACGCAATCCATCAATCGCAGAAGAGACTCATCTTCTGCATATGCTTTTCGCACGTCGTCGAGCAGATTCGACGACGGAACACTCACTGATAGTGTCGTAACAGTGGGATCACCCCTACTGTTCGGTTGAGCAGTCGGATCGAAATCGGGCCGACGCGAAAGACATTAAGTCGTCTTGGTTTGTACAAGACGGAAAAGTTGTACTCCACAAAGAAAGACAGCCACCTCACCATTCGTCGCGAGAGGTGTGGACTGTTTACGGCCGTGCGTAACGATGCATGGTCGGTATAGACGATGAAGGGCCTATCTCCTGAGAGATGTACCCGAAGCTTAGCCAGTGTATATTTCAAGACAAGGAGTTCCTTTTCAGACTGCAGCTGACGCTATTGATAACAGACAACGCGCTCGACACCGTCTGAGTCGTACTGCAGTATCGCGCAGCCGATTGCAAATATGCCGGCGTCACAGACCACATGGAATGGTCCGTCCTGGTTTGCAATCTCCAACACAGGCGATCATTTCAAGCTTTTCTTGATACCTTCGAAGGAGCGCTGACACTCAGCACTCCATGGCAACCTTTAGCTTTTCTTTAACAGTAGAGAGAGATGAACGGTCATCTCGACGAAGTAGCGCGAGTACTTGTGCAAGTACGCCGCTAAGCCAAGGAACTTTCGAAGTTTCTTGACGTTGAATGGCACAGGCCAGTCGCTAATCGCCTTTACATTTTCCGGATCAGGGCGTACACCGTTTTTACCCACGATGCAACCAAGAAGTGGTATTTCGTTCACTGCGAATATGCACTTCTTGAGGTTCGCGAACAACTTATGCCCTCGCATTATAGTAAGAACCTTCCGGACGTAAATTCTATGAGCCTCCACGTCCGTCTTTCCATACATAGCCCGGCTGTGGACGAAGACAACGTCGAAGTAACCCGGTGCGAAATCGCGACCGATCGGAAAAGGTTCGTAACACATCAGTTGAACGTTGCGGGGGCGTTACTTAGCCCATGTAGCATCATTAGCCACTCTTAGAGCATACCGCTGGGGGTGCTGACTGCTGTGTACGGGATGCTTCCCCCGTTCACGCATCTGATGGAACCCATCCATCAGATCCATGGACGAAAATATGGTACTTTTTGCCATACCATCTATGATGACTTCCTTCCTCGGTATCGGTGTTTAAGCCGGTAACGTTGCAGCGTTCAATTTGTTGAACGCGTGCACTATCCGCCTTCCTCCTATGGCCTTTCGCACACAGAAGGTCGGAGAGCTGTGTGGATATGTTGATTCCCTCACATGACTAGCCGCTGAGCAAATGGATAAGAATTTGTCGATGCTGTGACCTGTTCACGAGGCAGTGACCATGCTTCATGACACAGTACTTTGAACCAGGTTTTAGTTCGATTTCATGCTGAGTTCCTTTGTCCTTAGGCAGCTCGCATGGCAGGGATTCAGGGAAACATCCCTAAATTCAACTAAATCCTTATACAAAGGATTTTTCTTCAAAGACTCCCAAGATTGAGACGTGTATCGCTCAATACGGTTCTTCTCATCAAACACACTCTTATCCATCGATGATCTACTGAGAACTCGTCCGTTCCCAGTAACACTTTGCCGACTAGATATCGGCGACGTACTCTTCCTCTGTGACGAGTATGCAGATCTGCTAGATCTTGTCTTTACACAGATCTCGCAAGAATTGTTTAAATTCTAGCGTTGCCAACTTTAATACCTCCGAAACTGACTTCGGAGGTGTATCCAAATAAAGTGTATAAGCGCCTACACTTGATCCGTGATTCACCAAGACATTCACTGTCTCGGTGATTTCCTAAGAAAACACATCCGCAGGCGTTTCGGGATCCACACCCTCAACATAACTCTCTCGGGAGTTATCATTATCAGGAACGCTGGAACTTATTCCAATACGCAAAATGACTGTGGTGTTTTACCACAGTCACGTCCTCTTTGATCGACTCTCTTTCAGTCGATCAGGATTGCTCTACGATCGACTCTCTGTTAGTCGATCTTGCTTCAACGTGTTGTCCATCCTGAACAACACTAATTTCTGTTCTTGGATTCACCCTTCTTGGAGTTCACCCGTGTTCCAGTCCACTCGATGTCTTCAAGTGTTGAACCTTCGGTGCAGCATGTGTCTCTACACAGGTGCCGGAAGCTGGTTCTACAGTGCAGTGGCCTTCTTCAGTGTGATCTTGTGCAGTCGTACTAACGACCGTACCACAGGTGAGGCCATCACACTCACTCGTAGTACATCCAAATACTTGTGGACACTCCAAGCCGTTCATCAGATGGCCATCCGATGAACAAACGGCAGGCATCTTCACGGATCGATGCTGACAGCTGATCCATGGCTGGTATTTTCGAAGTCGTGGCAGACCGAAGATGACCTCAAATTTGTCATCCAAATCCAGTACGATGAAGTCATCATCGTACTGCTTTCCTTCTAGAGTGTAGTGGATTCCCACTACACGTTTGTTCACTTTTACGGATAAGCCTGTAGCAAGGCACACCATCATCCTCGTTGGAGGGAACTCTCGCTCAACATAGTTGAGTCTACTATCTTCTAGCGA